TCTCATCGCAAATGGTCTCCGACTGTTAAATAAAATGCTTTTCAAGGTAAGATGAAAGTTTGATCACAAATAACAATGTGTATTGGTCGATACGCGTTGAAACTTGAAGCGAATGAATTAACTGTATTTAAATTATTACATTTTTAGGTGCATACAAGTCTTCATAGTAAACAAGTGGACTTCGTCGATATTTATCAGTTTGTAAAAAATCTGATTGCATGAGCTTGATCGTAGGCTTGATGGAACATCGTACTTCTAAGGGATAAATAATCACACAGAGAGTTTATTATTGTTATTTTGGCAATATGTCTGTCTTGCACAAAGAGTTAAGCAACCCAGTGTGGATTGTTGTCTGCACATATTAAATGACCACTGTGAATTACGCATGAGATTCAACATGACATTCAACATGATATTCGATATTGTGTGAACTCACTCATTTCAATCACTCAGAAGTAAAAATGAAAAATATAGCCATTTCTTCTCTTCCAAATGAATTAGAAAAAATAAATCATATAGTTCGTATTAACTACAATATATGAAATTTTAAGAAAATCCTATAGAATAGCGCGCAAGATTTTTACAATTAAACAGACAGTTGTTGAAAGCGGTTATATAATAGGCTTATAATATAAGAGGTGCGAAGTACATTCATGTTCGAGTGGGATTTTCGTTCATTTTACGTCTGGCACCACTTACGTGTTATTAACCATTTGAAAGAGCATATAATTTTATACAATATATGAAATTTTAAGAAATTCCTATAGAATAGCTCCCAAGATTTTTACAATTAAACAGACAGTTGTTGAAAGCTGATATATAATATGCTTATAATATGAGAGGTGCGAAGTACAGTCATGTTTGAGTGGGATTTTCGTTCATTTTACGGCTGGCACCACTTACGTGTTAGTAACCATTTGAAAGAGCATATAATTTTATACAATATATGAAATTTTAAGAAAATCCTATAGAATAGCGCGCAAGATTTTTACAATTAAACAGACAGTTGTTGAAAGCTGATATGTAATAGGCTGATAATATGAGAGGTGCGAAGTACAGTCATGTTTGAGTGGGATTTTCGTTCATTTTTAGGCCGGAACCACTTACGTGTTAGTAACCATTTGAAAGGGCATATAATTTTATACAATATATGAAATTTTAAGAAAATCCTATAGAATAGCGCGGAAGATTTTTACAATTAAACAGACAGTTGTTGAAAGCGGTTATATAATAGGCTTATAATATAAGAGGTGCGAAGTACATTCATGTTCGAGTGGGATTTTCGTTCATTTTACGTCTTGCACCACTTACGTGTTAGTAACCATTTGAAAGAGCATATAATTTTATACAATATATGAAATTTTAAGAAATTCCTACAGAATAGCTCGCAAGATTTTTACAATTAAACAGACAGTTGTTGAAAGCTGATATATAATATGCTTATAATATGAGAGATGCGAAGTACAGTCATGTTTGAGTGGGATTTTCGTTCATTTTTAAGCTGGCACCACTTACGCGTTAGTAACCAATTGAAAGAGCATATAATTTGATACAATATATGAAATTTTAAGAAAATCCTATAGAATAGCGCGCAAGATTTTTACAATTAAACAGACAGTTGTTGAAAGCTGATATGTAACAGGCTGATAATATGAGAGGTGCGAAGTACAGTCATGTTTGAGTGGGATTTTCGTTCATTTTTAGGCCGGCACCACTTACGTGTTAGTAACCATTTGAAAGGGCATATAATTTTATACAATATATGAAAT